CTGCCTCCTTCTGTGAGATAACGTTCTCGCAGAAGGAGGCAGCCGCCTCCCATGCCGTCTCGCTAAAGAGTATAGCCGCGCCGCGATCAGGTCGCGACGCTGCTGCCGGCCGAGCACACCTTGTTGGAGTGCTCGTCCGGAGCGCCGGCGTTTCCTTCCGACGGGCGCTACGGTGAAGGTACTGTCCGGGAACAGATGCTTCAGTCACTACCTGCACCATGCGGAACGAGAGGCCGTCCGCCGGCGACCCACCCACTCCTCCAACACCGGACGAATGGTCTCAATCGTCCGGTGGCCAGCGCTTACATGGGCTAGTGCCTCATCCCATCGCCGCAAGGCCTCTGCCTGCGCGATGGACGGCCCGGGTCGCGATGGTCCTCTGCGGTCGTCGCAGCGGGGTTTGAGGCACTCTGCCCAAACCGGGGCTTCATAAAGTGCCATCGACCGTATCACCCCGTGAAACAGTCGACGGCACGCATCTCCTGGTTCCCCCGAGTGCGGCGGCGGCGGCGCACAGCCGTGCTCCGATGACCACCTTTAATTCTTTGGTGCCAACAAGGACCACCGGTCGTAAATGGGGTCTGTTCTGTGGGTCAAATTTCCAGAACGAAAACGTTGCTGCCCCATACTCTCATTAATCCATCGAGCTGTTTCTGCAGCGTTGATCCCACGGTGGAACTCTTGTTCGTTACTAACGCGATGTTTTAAGGTTTCTATATTATTAATAGTCAAAGAAAACTATGATAAAATATGAATCACCTGAACTACAAATCAGCAAGTCTTTCGAAATAAATAGTAATGTGAACAGACCGTTGTCAAAGAAAAATAAAACGGCGTGAAAACATATGAATCACTAAATTCGAACCACAAATACACAAACCTAAATTTGAAATCTTTTGAAAGATGCATTTTAAATATTTTTCGAAGACTCGCGTACTTCTGTCCTTTCTGGTCCTGTGTCCTCGGTCGTTCGGGAAACTTCGTCCACGGTATTTTTAATCCGTCCTATGCGTTACATGATGGAGTTGAAAGCGATTTATTTCGGCGGACATAAAATACCTCGGACAAAGTCCCTCACCCGAGATACTATGCTGCCCCACTATTATCAATAATTAAACAGCAAAGCTGGAAAGGTAAAATAATATCAAAATTAACAGTATTACTTTATTTATTATACAAAAACTGTTTTTTTTTATTTAGGAGTTAAAAGTTTGATTTATAAATTTTAAGAAAATATTACTCAACAAATCTACTTTTAGAAAACTCTACTACTAGAAAATCTTCCATGTGGTCCAGAAGGGAATATTTTTTTTCTAGTACAGTTTTCTAGTTCAGTCTTTCAATTTTTTCTTAAGTCAATATACCCAGATAGATTGAGGTTTTAATAATTGGATTCTTATTAAATTTTATAGATTTAAAGAAATTTGATGCAAGTGGGCCCTAATTTAGCCATTCTCATAAGAATTTAAGAAAGTAAAATGATGGTTAGGTTAGTTTTAAATGTGTTAACGTCCGGTCGTCAGTTTAGTATGGGATGCTATGGAGGTTTGTTAACGACAGCTGAGCTAGTGACGGTTTGGAGTCGGTACAAACGTATTAACTACTAACTTGAACAAGCGCTCTTACTCCTCCATCTTACATAAATAACATCTCATTGATTACAAAATCGAAAATTAAAAAAATATATAAATTAATAAATAATATCCGGATCATGATTTAGAAGCCGGGCGGGGCCAAAATTGAAACATGGATTTGTTTAAGTTTCATTTTCAATTTTGAAATCGGTTTCATTATTTCTTCTATAAAAATTCTCATTTAATGAAAACTGCTAGGTCAAACTGAATCAAATTTAAATGGGACCAAATGGCAAGTATCTGCCATCGAATCGCCAAGAATCACTCAAATCGAACCAGAAAACGCAATCGGTGTATTTAGAAACAAAGTATCGTGAAAATTACGTCGTCCAAGTTAACAAAATGCTCATAAAATAAAAACTACTGGGCCAAACTAGGTTTTAAGAGACCAAATGGCAACAATCCTCCTTCTTTTTGAAATCTGTTAAATAAGTAAAACAGTAAAATATTACATTTTAGTACTGCTTTTGTTTTAATAAGTTAAGACCAACATAACATTTAAAGAAAAATTCTATAAAAATATTTGAATGTTTCGACATGAGTGTAGATAAAATAATTATTAGTTTTATTTGAAGTCGTCACACAAACAAAATTTACAAATGTCCTTACTAAATAACCTTTTTTATTATTATTAAATATTTATGCCAAACTAGCGGCCGCCCCCGATTTCGCCGGCGTTAACTTTAGGTTTTAGAGAATCGCTTAGAAACCTAACGTTTTTCCAAAATAAAAAGTATCCTATATTTCCATCTAGGTATAGAAAACTCTTAATTTCATCCAAATCCGTTCAGTGGTTTAGGCGTGAAACCTTTTCGCATTTAATAATGTTAGTGAGGATAATTATTAATCATCCATAATGTTGGAAACAATACAATTCGAGCTTTATTACTACCTTAAATTAGCACAACTCTTGTTTCATTACTAAAACCTAAAACTATGAGTGCGTGCGTGAAATGACTGTCAATGGCAATGACCATTAAACTGGCATTTTGAAAAAAAAAAACAAAACCGATTTCATAACCAAAATTTAAATAAAAAGTGAAACAATATTCAGTTCACACGAAATCGGGCGGGTCTTAGTATGATTTGTAAGTCAGGCGAGGCTAAGATTTAATCATGGAATAGATTTTCATTTCTAATCTGTATACTAGAACAAAGTTTTCGTTTTATCCCTATCCACAGCAAACTACGGTCTCTGATTTCAGTATTTTTGTTAATATGTTGAACTATCAACAAGTTCAAAATTCTGCGAGACCAATTCGCTTAGATATCAAATAATAACGATTTACTGCGTAATCCTGGTTTATTTGGTGAATTTAAAACTTGAACAATTTCGGGTTCTGCCTCTTAGATCCATAGTTATAGATCTAATTGCAATCGTCAAAGCTACGATAAATAAATAAATATTCCTCGCATCAATTAAACAACTATAATTTTAAAAGACAACCATAATAATTAAATATGTAATACACATGATGTAATTACCTAGTACCTAATTTTGAAGTTTCCAAATTGATATATCATGATAAGAGGCTGAGAGAATTTAAGTGATAGGTTACTAACTACCTTTGTAATTAATATGAATCGATTAAAGGGACGATTGGCCTACCATCGACATAAGTAATGTCAACTCGAAATACCACCCCAGTACCAGCTTCTCCCCATTGATCGCATCCAGCGCTGATCGGTATGAATCGTCACCGACCAGGACCTTTCCGATCTCCTTGATTCTTAGGTTTTGCGTCGGGATGTGCGGGCAGTCTTCACAGGGAACCGCAACCCCACCCGCACTCCTGGACCGCAATACTGGGATTACGGTCCTAGCAATGCGGGTCGGGTGACACGGTGCAAGGATATTGTCTGGGTTTTAGTGACCCTGTTCAGGGCGTAGGTAGGCCCTGTACACTTCATCTGACCTCAGTGCTGGCTGAAGTGGACAGGGAGGAGAGTCCCACATACCTTCTTCTCGCTCCCCCAGTGGTTGAAGGATGCGTAAGGCATTGTCCAGACAAAAAAAAAGCTTTTGCGTAGGGATGTAGCTTCGCTCTGAATCCTCTACCGCATTTCCGGGAAAGTTCTGAGGCATTTCTGTTTCTTGAAAATTGTTCGGATTAATTCCAGCTTCTACTTTTCGGCATCATACATCGCGACAAAACTGTGAAATATATTGTAGGCAGCAGTGTTTCCGGAGCAATACGACCCGAAAACTTAAAAAAAATAGTGTACCCTTCCTTTAGGGTGGGCTTCGCATTTGTAATACTCGTGTTGCTATGCTGATCTCTATACACGACGGTGATCCCTTACCATACTTTCTATACCTCAACAATGCCAAAATATATTAAATATAAATCCTGTACTTTAGTCGCAACCGTTTTTTAGATAGGGCAACGCAGCGCTCAGCCTTACATCTCAGCTTGGGAATCACGGCGAACATCTTATTCTAAATAATTAAAAATATAAAATTAGATTAAAAGGTGTAGTGACGAATTTTCATGTCCCAATAGTTTTAAAACGCACTGTTAGTGAATTTATGCATTCAAAAGATAGTTATAATACTCTAATCCCCTTGCATGAGCACCGCAATATGATATTTATTACGTTTTTATCACGTGTAACAGTCAAACTCCATAGTGCTTTGTCAATTGAGCTTGATGAAAACATGATTGTATATTATATCGCGACGCTCATGCTAGGGTATTACAACGCTTTATGTCTCTTTTTTGATACTGAATACAAATACGGGGGGATACGTAAGACTCATTTCGTCAAACAAGAGGCCCATTTAAAGATCTGTACCCTTAGCACGAACTAATATCGAATACGAATAGTTAAACTCCATCGCGATACGCGTCAAATGACTAGAAGATTTTTAATTCTCGTTAGGTACATCCATTGTGGCGCTGTTTAAATAACCTTACAAAACTTCTTGACATTTCAAGATCGGAATACACTATTCGAATTCGATATTGGTTGGTGCTACTGGCACCACGGGTCACTAACGATGGGGGCCCCTCCTGTGGAGGCCTATAACCCACAACCCATGTAGCTATAATTCATTTTCATACTTGGTGGTACACGCCCCAAATGATAAAGTTTAAATAGGCCAGTGATACAAAATTCCGAATCGGTGTGGGCAACTGTTGTGCAATGTGTACACTGCATAACATTATTTATAACGATTACTGCAATAATCTTTTCCACTTTAAACTCACTTCGCTTTGATCTCATAGTTTGACGATATGAACATGCGACTTATCTAGAAACAATCGCATCACTTTAAAATATGAGTATAGACAAAACAGAGTCCATTCCTATCTTACGGGCGTATTTTTTCTATAAAGTTAATTTTATTTTCTTTTGTTGCAGCCTCGTATTGATCCTGTTCAGTTACTCAACTGCCTGAGTGTACTTTTGTCACCTAGTGGGGGAATAAAGAGTAGAAATGAAGTTCAAAGGCTCGCTGGGTAAGAAAATAACACATTTTAATGACTATTAATGGAAAAGACCAGTATAAAGTTAAGAATGATCAACCAGAATATGATTTAATAGCGGGTTCGAATCCTGCAGCATGTATAATTTGATGATTCTTGTACACTTTGTTCATTATATTAACCGACGAAATTAACGGTAGAAGTTCTAAAGTCGACGCATAACTTTTTACAGAGTAGTCCGATTTTGATAATTTCTTTTTTTATAAGATATATACATGTGATTCTTTGAGAGTGCATATATTATCGTAATCATAAGAAAATTAAATAACCATTTGATGTTTTATTACAGCTTGATGACAAAGTTCTCAAAAAAGCTTGTTTCAAAGTGTATTTACATACAAATCCTCAAATGCACCGAAACAGATCTATTAGGATTATTCATGGGTTCAGGAGGCTGGTTATTAGTTCACATGTGGTTAACAGAGAGTATAGTTGCTAAAAATTGGCCTTTGGTTAAGGAGCTTTTAGAGCTTTTGTTGTTATGCCCAGTTGATATAGACCGATTAAAGACTAATAACTGTCCAAAATTAGTAAAGGAGTTGTCAAAGGATGGAAACCATTTTGGTAAGTATATTATTAACTCAGAATCTAGCCATTAAGTAATTCTCATACGAACATTGTTCTGAAAGTACCGCTCGTGCACAACTGTAAACATTTTTACATTCATTGTAAGTAAATGTTTTTCCAGATTATAAGACACCACATTAATTTCTATTGGTGCGTGTACCAAAATGCCCATTCTCCTTTGGTTGGTTTTGTAAATTACAAAAAGTACTATACTATACGCAATGTCTGTTTGGCTAACCACTTGTTTTTGTTAACAAACAATCACTTACAGCCGCACGCTGAGACAACGACAGTACATTTCTTAGAATAAAATTTCTAAGAAAATAGAATAAGACAACGCGTCACTTTGAAAAACATTAATTATAATTGAGGTCTCCGCAGGCGGCATTAAGAATAAGATACCTTGTGAAGTGCATAATAAATAAGTTGGTTTTGCCAAACAATTGCTCCATTTCTGAAATTACAGATAAAAATAACGATTGTTTTTTAATAAATTAGTTTCTTTCTATTTCTGAATACTATCGTTATCGGATTATTATTGATTCTGAAGTTATTTTAGAATGGAAAAATACTATATTTTACCGCTTTCTGGCTTGTTTTGGATAGAAGCTATGGTGTCGATATTAATTATTATCAATAGATAGGCCTATAGATACTGTGACTATTTCTTAAGGCAACTATCAATAAATATTCTCAGTAACATTAATGTGCTGTCAAACTACAAAAGAAACTGTTGTTGTCTGTTTTCTAGTAGAGTTTACAGAGACGCTTTGATTCAACATTAAAATTATGCGGGTTAATGCATATTCCATACACATACGCTAGTCTGAGGGGGACCGTTGGAAAATTCGTTAGTGAATGCTAACATACATATGTAATCAGGGGATTGTAAACCCCTACCCCTTATTTTTGTAGAGGCCATAATTTATAGCTCTTCGTGATGATGAAAACCATGTATATATTCTTTTCTTATCATTTGTGTATAAACAAATTTCATGCTTGCTCATTTGTCACTTATTATCCTTGTATTACCTTTATTTTTTTTAAGGTTTGAAACTCGTCATGTTACAAGCATTGTTAGTTTAAACTAAGGTAAAATTACTGTTTAGCTATTCGGGAAAACATTTGTTTATTATTAACAAATGGATTTTAAATGGGTACACTAACTGAATATAGCTATTAAATCATCTGAGTAATCGAAAAATTTCCATTTTATGTAGGTAATAAGATTTTTTTAAGTCCATTATAGGACTGGAGTTGGCAAAAACACCTTTCACATGCGTCAACTGCTACTTATTCACATAGTCATATCACAAAATGAGTGTAATTTTGGTAACATGTCATACTATATTCTGTGGAATAAAACATAACAGGTTACACGAATACAAACTGAATTTCGGTATACAAAGCTATATCGAAGTATTTCAAATATAATATGTAGATATCCTGTAAATTATTTGCTTTAATATAGTTTATTTATTTTTAGCAATAAGAGCATTGGCTTCCAAATTAGTCGAACAATGGCTTAAAACAGTAAAAGGAGAGCCTGTTGTACCTGTTCAGGAAGCTGAAATAGCTCAAATAATTTCAAACGCGCAAGCCGAGTGGTGTAAAGCTGAAATGAAATCTAAATTGGACGATGACAATACAGAAAAAAACAATACATTAGACATCAAAACAGAAAAGACAAATCCAGATGCCGATGAGGATGTGAAATCCCCTAAATCAGAAATTATTTCTAATTCAGTTGTGAAAAGTGAAGAAGGTCTTAAAAAAGAAAACACAGAGCCTGAAGGGGAGAAAGAGACATTACCAGTCCTGAAAATATCATTGAAGGAAGGAAAGCAAATAATATCACAATTAGACGAGGAAGAAACGAAGGAAGAATCTGTATCTGAAAATTCTAAGGAGAAACACAAAAGTAAAAGCAAAGATAAATCTAGTGATAAAAATAGCATTACATCTAAATCTAGTTCTTCTAAACATTCGAGCAAATCTCATTCATCGTCTTCGTCTGATAAACATAAAAGCAGTCATCGAAGTAGCAGTTCTAGTAGTAGTAAGATTAAAGATAGTAATCAAAAAGATAAAGATAAACATTCTTCTCACAGATCTAAAAGTGAAAGCAGAAAATCCAGTGATAAGTCTAGTTCAACGAGTAAAGACAAAGATGAGCGAAGTAGTAAATCCGATAAAAATAAAAATAGAGATAAAGAAAAAGATAAAGAAAAGAGTCAAGAGAAAGACCAAAATAAAAATAAACTTGATAAGAATGATAAAAATAAGGATTCACCGAAAACTGTAAATGAAAAATCGGAAGATACACAACCTCCATCTATCCACAAATTAGGAAAAATCCCTAAATTGTCGGAGCTCAAGAAAGAAAAACCCTCAATATCTATCGAAGTTCGGAAACCTGATGAACCTAAACCGAAAACAGTCAAAACATTCCATTCGAAGTTTAGAAAACATGGATTGGAAGAGGAAGTGAAACCACCACCATCCCGTGCGACACTTTTAAATAAAAAAGTAGCTCCTGTATTACCTCCGACTGTACCAATACCAAAAAGACCTTCTCCTGTACATAATGAATCTCCCCCGGAAAAGAAACTTAAAGCAATTGAGCCATTAGAAAAACCAGGATCTATTAAACTAATTCCTGCTAAACCGAAGCGTAAGTATTTGTTCTCTTTATTATTACAAAGTACATTACTGATATTTATTATTTTTACAGGTAGATACTGCAACCCTGACACAACGTTTGTGACAAGAAGCGCGTTATTTAGTTTAGGTTGCTTCATTGGTAAGTCAAAAATGTATAGCTTAATGGGTTCCAAAGAGATTTTACCATATGTAAATTATTTTTTAGAAATAAATGCTGAACTTTTGCAAATCTTTCGTTCTATACTGACCTGAATTTGTTTAAAGAAAGGAGCAAATCATAGGTATCTGTCAAAATGGTGCACCTTCAGAGAATCTACCTGAAGACCGTGGCAGAGAGGTTGGCTACCAACGGCGTTCCAGAAGTGTTACTTCGGTTTTCTACAGCTGGGAATTATATAAGTGAAATAAGAATAAAATAAAGTATATGCCTACTCAATAATTAAATTAGGGTGCACAAAATTGCACTTGCAGTACCTTTTAAATGCCGCTATGCGATGCGATCAGTATTGACAGAATAGATATTGTTTATCCGGCAAATAATTTGCTATTTTAACTATATGCGTTTTAAGTTGTACTTGAGTAGTCCATACGTAGTTAAAAAAAAGAACAATAGATCAGACATAAACAAGCAAAATTCATATTTTCCACAATGTAGTTGACGAACTCGCACTAAAGCTTCGTTCAAATTGAGGCTAATCCTTATTTGAGCACGGGACACTAAACGCGTTTCGCTCGTGCTGATTGCGCCAGTTTGTATGAGCGTGTTCAAATGTGCGCGAGTAGTCTGCAGTGCTTCCGTATATTTTGTATGATTCTTGATAAAACATCGTTATAGCATACGAAAACATTAAAATCTATTCGCTATGTGTGTTTCGCAAGTGGGAAATTCGTAATATGCGCATTGAATACTCAGCTCATGAACCCATTTTCCTTTTCTTCCTCAGATATTCAGATTCTTTTATAATTGCTAATAATAACAAAATCTCTTAAAGTCGATATCAAAACATTTGTTTTCCTTTTAAGAAACCAAAAATAATGACGCACGCACGGTATCCGCCTCAATATGGGAGGCTAAGCGAGTGAATCGCTCAGATTCGCGTCCCGTGCGGGATAAAGCCTCAGTTTTAACGAAGCTTTAATAAGGTTCTATAAACAGGTAATTAAATTAGTCGTCCATGGCCAGTCATTACTTATTAATAACTTGGATATAATGATATTTTATACAAGCCCTATTAAAATATACATCGTCAGTATAATATGATATAATCCGTAGTTCGCCTATATGTTTCCAGTAGATATTGATTCGACATATATGTATCTAGAGAGATTTATAAATGAATGAAGCAGAAGGCTTTACTTCAAAATGATGTACAATTATCTTATTAAAATAGCCATTATTTAATCTTACAGTTATGTATCTATATCATACACGTCAAAAACTCAAATCAAACATTTTTACTCTTAGCAACGAAAACTATTTTTTTATTTAGTCAGTCTTTTGTATTTCCGCTAATTGTAATAGATATAGCCCAGTATTTAGTAACCCTATCTAAAGCACAGAAGGGGATACCAACTTACGCCAGTATAAAGTTGGTAAGTACTGAAGACCCCGTATTTGATCGGCTTTGATTATTTCAAGTGGGCATTCTTAAAAAATACTTCCATATCAGTAAGTATAACACTGCGACCAACAGCTTAATCAAAGTCAATCAAAATGATGTCATGATATGGTAGTACTTACTATTGGTGGTTTACGAGTCTTTTCAAGAACCATCATGTTGCTAAAATGAAACAAATTTATCAGAAAGTTCGCGCCTTAAAAACGTCTAGTAATATGCTTATCGGTAACACCGCATTCTAAAATAACGATTCTATGCGATTTTCACCGACTGGATCGCGCTTAAGCTTGTCACAGACGACGAGCACTTTCGCGACGGCCTGTAGTCGGCTGTATATTTTTATGCGGAGAGCTCACCGGATAGTAAGTTGTAAATTCTATCTAAATCGAAAGTGAAGATACTTCTAGATTAGGACTGTAGATTCATTAAAATACATTTTTTGCATATTATAAAATGAGCTGCTTTTTGGCACGACCCGGTCTGAGCAAATCGTACACAGTCTTTAAACCCAATTATGTATTTTGTGCTGAAAACCTTAATAAAATATTATTAAAATAAAAATCGTGACTTACACTATCAGTTTATCAGTATGTGGGATCGCAATGGCCAGACCACCATTAAAAAAGTTTGAATTTCGTTCTATTGAAAGATATTAATTAATAGTCGATATAAAACGATATTAATATATATGTCATTGTCGATCCCATGGCCCAGACCTAATTTTTCCTGATGAACAAAATCTAGATAATCGAGAAGTTTTAATGTGTACAATAAACCTATACTCGCTAACTTGAGCTGTGGGCCAATTGTCAGTTTTGTTTTGTCAGGCCTCTATTTCTATAATAAGTCGACATATATGTCCCTGACATAATTATCCAAGCCGATGGTTGTGTGGTTATTTATTTACTGCACCGATTTCTTTCATGAAATGTTTGATACTGGTTTTGCTTATGCGGAGTTTTTCTTTGAACACAAAATTAGTGAAATCAAAGAAGTAATTTATTCGCTCTTTTTAAAGTCTCCTGTATAAGAACTCATCTTTTCAATCTTTCGCGGAGAGCCTTTTTGTAAGTAGCAAAGGAAATATTACAATTGTAACGCAAATTTGACTAATGTCAAGAATTAACTACCGACAACTTGGCAAAAATGTCGACTTAAAAGAAAATTGCGGTTGTATTAAACATAATTGTCGTTGAATTAAGATACGGACAATTGTTACCAAATGTCTGTCATTTTTTATAAGCATTTCCTAAAATAATTCACAAAAGTGGCACTTATCATCTGTCACTTTATAATTATTATCAGCATTTATGTCAAGGACGTGTGTCGACTTGGTGGAATAGGGCACAGGTACGTAAACATTTACTGACCCCTTACAGTCTCCAGAAAATATTGTAAAAAAATTGATATTAATACTCCCAACCTTTTTTGTCACCAGTAATTATTGCCAGCCAGACACTTTAAATATAGAAACAACACGACTTTTTTTCTGCAATAAATTTGATTTAGATAGGTAATAAGAACTTATTATTGTCAAAAGCTTACTTAAAAAGGCAATTATGAAAAGTGCGCCCTTTCCCAGTGTCACTTTACCGAAGCTTAAGGAATTTTTGCCCCCTACGATTGTTCTGGTAGCTTACAAATATTAATGGCCCTCTAAATATCATACCTAAATAAATATCATGTCTCACTGTAAGTAATCTTTTTTGCTCTCGACATTTAGTGTCTGGCAATAAATACTGCTTACACAACGAGTCTGGCTTTTAATTGTTTTTATCTTAACTTAAATTTCAAATTGTTTACAATATTTTCCTTTTATTCCCATTTTCGGAGGAAAAAATAAATAAATTGGGGCAATGTCTTCATTCCCATTTGCCTCTGCAATCCTATTCTGTAAATTCATATTGGATACGCGCGTGAAAATTTTGCGAGTCTACAGAATAGCATTGCTGGTGGTCATTCCCGCGGAAGCTAGGAATAAAGGATATTTTCTACAACATACGTAAGAATCAGTCCTCACATTGTAAATAAAGTGAATAAATTCTTTACATACCTGTACCACCTGATACTTTTTGAAAATTGGTCTACAGCACAAGCTAGCGAATTTGTATACGTCATTGTACACACTAATACTAGGTACTTAATTATTCGTATTTTGTCCATCAGAAAGTAAGGTTTGGCGGCCTTGGGATCTTATTGTAAAAGTCAAATGAATCGAGATTTAGCAAATATGCTGCAAGTGCACCTCAGTTCGCTAAAGCAGGTATTTAATATTAATAACAAAGGTGGTCATGCTCTGTCGAGATCCTTATAAGTCTCCCTGCTATTTTAATTTAATCATAATACCTAGTAAGTAATCGCCGCCAATGCCATAGAAAAACCTAGAGGTTCCTTCCACATCACTTTCACTGAAACCATTTCTTCAGACGTGTTTCTGTTTGATATAATCGTAATATCAAAATGATTTGTAGTTCGGCTCTTCAGATTCTTCTATCTAGTTCACTAAATAAATGCCTACCTACATACATTACATATTTCAATGGGTACGTTATTTTCGATCGTCATCCCCAGCTGTATCCCCTTCGGTGACGTGTGGGTTTTTTTCTGAAAATAGCCCATACGTCACCCCGTGTCTGTTTACACGTTAATTACTCAATAAGAAACGTTAAAAAGGGCTTTCCTACATTCTTAAAGTAAAACACGATTTTTTTTGTTTTAAATTTACGTATAAACTTCTATATCTTCAGTAAATATGAGGCTGTGGATAATCCGGGATTTACAATTCGAATCGATGCAAACGTATTCCTAAAAATTAAAATTGAATAGGTAATAAGGGCCACACCGACAGTGAAACGAGATTCGTCTAGAACACCTGTTCCGTGGTACCTAACCTTTTGATATAATATCGCCACTGATAGGGGTAGCTAGCTGTTTTTATTTTATAATTAATTCCCATTGGTAGATAATTTACCTACTAATTTACTACATACCTATTTTATTATAAAAATACAGGTCATATCTCAGCTAAATTTTTAATTATTAATATATCATACATTTCAATATGTTTAAATCTATGTAGCTTCCTCTCATATTATCTCTGAATCTTTTAAGTGAAGTTAGTAATTTGACGTAATATTTAATCTAAGATCCCGAACCTGCCTTACCTTATTTTCTGATGGACAAAATATGGATAATTGAGTAGTATTAGTGTGTACAATGAACGTATACATACAGGCTAACTTGTGCTGTCCTGTGGGCCAATTTTTAGGTATCAGGTGTAAACATGTACGTTGTAGAAAAAGCGAGTAAACAAACGTTCATTGTACTGATGCTACTCGATCATAAATATTTGTCCATGATAAAATAAGTAAGGTCTGGCGAGTTCTGCCAA